TTACCATGGGTGGAAGTGCAGGCAGGACATCCCTTGGCCGTGGGATTGTATTTGCATTTCTATTTCCCAGAAGACTTTTATCCCATACCAGCAAACGGGGATGACAGGGAGCCAGTCCTTTGATAAACAGGGAGGCTCCTTGTCTCTCAGTAGAGACAAGTGGTGGGAAAGGATGACCTGGATGTGAGTGCTCCCAGACAACACTGGAAACATGGATAGGTCTCTTTGGTAACAGCAGACTTTAAAAAGGAAAAAAAATAAAAACACATCCCTGAAATGACAATGCCTTTTTTAACAAAGTGGTACTTACTAGGTAAAAAGTAATGGATATGAATCATTGATGACCTCAAAAAAGGTCACACTTGCAATGATAGAAGATACTTGGCTAGTAGACAACATTATGCTTTCTCCAATAGGCAGTTTTGCTTGAGAGGTCTGCATCCGATAGCTGTTCCCAGCACAGAAAATGAATGTGCTGGCTCTGTATGTGCCTCTAGAAATCAGCAGCACAAATTCCTAATGGCCTTGCTGTGCATTCTGCTGGTTTAAATGGTGTTTTGCTCATGTTGTCCTACGTTGATGCTTGGAGTGGCTGCTTTGAATGCAGGGAAAGTGAGCAGCATTTGACTATGGAAAGCATATTTGCATTATGTGTGCAAATACATACAGGTGTGTGCAAAATCTGTGTATATACAAATACACTTTCTGGTCTCAAAATGGTAATCAGCCTCTTTCAGTGCCTGAACCTTTTGCTGTAGTGGCACTATTTTGTATAGAACCTGTGGCCCCTGTGTGTTTTTGAAACGACGCAAGGCATTCCTCTTAGTCATTCCGTAGCAAGGCTGTTTCCTGGTATTCAGAGCAAGACTTTGAAAGTGGGATTGTGGTGTTTGTCAGAATATCACGCAGAGAGTACTGGGATGTAATTTCTTGAGTTGTCCCCTGAGAAAGGTAATGCAGTATTGTTCTTTCTTTTCCCGCTCTCTGTGTCTGCTCCTTGCGAGTGGAATGATGTAGTCAGTCACGCTTGGATGACCTGTAGGTAATTTGCTATCATCTCCTTTTTTTCATATCCTTTTTTCTGAGGCATGTGAGGGTAAAGGCTGCTGGCAATCTATTGTGTGAGATTGTAGAAGGCAGTTTGAGTGTACTTACATTGTGTTTGAACACAGACTTATGTATATAAGCAAATATGCATATAAGCAAACTGCTTATAGAGAACTGGGGAAGGTCAAGGAGTTGGCTGGACATTTAATACCTTCATAAGCAGGAGCATGCATGAACAAATAGATGTGGGTTAAACCCAAAGAAGGTTTAATATCCATTAGAAGTATGGGGTTTGGACTATCATTATCTTCTGTTTGTCTTCAAACAAAAGACAGTGGAATTAGTTCAAGCCAACTTGATTCTGTGCACCTGCCGTATGGACATGACTCTTAGTTTGACCGTCTCATTTGAAAAAGAAAAAAAGGCAGCAGAATTTAGGGTTTTGGGTTTTTTTTTCCATAGTGTCAAAAGATGAACACAAGCAAAAGGAAACTCTTACATAGCATTTATAAAAATGGAATTGTAAAGGAGCGGCAAGAAAAGCAGCTGTGTGAGGAAAGTGGGTTAGGGAGCTGACAGCCTCAGCTTAAAGTCATGGCAGGCCTCTCTTCAAGATGATTTATGCCCTCATTATGTGTGATGGTGAGTAGCTATCACCACAGCTCCTAGAAAAGGCTTTGCATGAGGTGAGGTGGATAGTGCTTTCAGGTGTTCCCCTGGGTAGCAGGTATGCAGTGATAGTGCTCAGGTTTTGTTTCCATCATTGTATTTGTGTGCAGTGTGGGGCTTGTCATCTGAAACAACTCGGGAAAGATGGTGAAGAATTGTCAAGAAAGAAATCTTCAGGCTGAGCCAAATCAAAGCATTTCTTGAAGAGCAACCATAAAGATGTGCATTTGTGTATATGTGATTTATAATTTAACTATAAAGATGTAAAAATCACTGTAAAACATTTTTTAAATAATTTGGCAGTAGAATAATAATCAACAGTCCCAGAAAGCTGTTATAAAACACATGTATTACAAAACTAATGTGAGAATACAGATACTGAGAAGACCTCATCTGACATACTGCGTACATCCAGGCTTCACTCAGAATTATGTGCAGTTGCGGATGTCTGAGTCGTGTACATTCAAAACCAAAATCTGTACATACATTGTATTTGAATGTTTCAAAAGGCATATTTGATGCCTCCTTCCATTTTGTTACTCTTCCCATAGATGTATATGAAAAATAAAAGCTCATTTTCAAATGCTTTAGCTATGGCATTTCAATACTAATGAGGTCACTTACATTTCTATGGGAGTTCCTTGAGCTTGCTGAAACTCAGGAGTCTCTTTGAGAGTCATCTGGGTGAGTGGATGTGTTTTAAAGGCAGGTTGTGTTGGCTGTTCTGGTCATAGTTCAAAGATGGTTTTTGGTAATAAAGAGAAAAAAAAAGAAACAAACCCAAGCAGAATCATTGTCTTGATCTGGGTATGTCCCTGCTGGTACATACAACCCAGTATCAATATTGGTTCAGTTACAAGTCCACTTTGTGTGTGTGTGTGACACTTGCTTCGAAATTGACTTTTGATACTTGGCTTTAATGCAGGTTGTAAGTCTTTGCAGTTCCCCTTTTATACAGTAGCTGATGAAACATTTGCTGTAATGAGAATATATATTGTCCTTTCTGCTGAGATTTCTGGAGTTTTAGAATGTTGTATTCAAAATGGTCACACCTTTGGGTCCCACTGGGCCTCTCCAAAGAGTGGTTTATTCCTATGGTGGACACACTTCTTTATGAGAACTGGCTAGTTTAATTCAGCTGTTCAAGAGCATAATTGTGGGAATCGAGCTTTTCAATTTATAGCTTTTAGGTTTTTTTAATTATGGGATGGGGCAGAAGGCCTCCTCTAATGCTGTGGTGCTAGATAGGAAAGGAATAAGGTGTCTCAAATGGAGACGTTTCATATGATTTAGTGTTACTGCTTTAGAAAAGTGTGCACCTTCTAGGAAGTCAACAGTGCATTTATGAGAAATTAGTAATCTTGCAGCTTCAGTTGTACTGATCAAGTTCTTTCATTAGCCAGGGAAAGGAGTTCTCAATACTGTCATCTGCTTGCAAGTTTTGTTTCCTCTCAGTATTTTAACCTTGCACAGCTAAAGACTTTCTGTTGTATTCTGCTATGAATTATGAACTTGATGCGTATATATTTGAGGGGAATGTTTGTGAACTTGGGGTGAGGAGAGGCATTATTTTTTCTACTAATAAATATGTTGGGGTTGGTGGTGGTTTTTTGTTTTGTTTGCTTGGTTGGGGTTTAAATTCTATAGATGAGAAAAGCAGGAGCACCCATCTGCAACTTTTTTTCCTTGCACAACATTAATGTGTTGAATCAGTAGGCCACCACAGAAGTTTGAAAACGTCTGGCCTATGGCAAAGAGGCCAAAAGGAATTCAGGTTTTTTTGTTTGGGTGTTACACTGTCACCACTCACTTTTCACCGTAAAGTCAGAGTTCTCCTTTTTTTTGCAAGAGAGTACCATGTCATTGATTCATTGAACTTTGTCCATTCAGAAGAGCTGAAGAGGACATGCTTTGTGAGCACTGATTTGGGAAATGATGGCGATCTTTACCTGGTTTTTGCACTGTCAGATATGCAGCCTTGTAGGTGTATATTTCAGCAGTAATACACAGAGGCTGTAATAGTATTGCATTATGTGTTTTGAGTAATTTTAAGCACAGGCTGCCATGGTCCATTTGCTCTCACTAGCTACTGATACTAGATAACCATCATAAGCCAGTTCAGGAGTCTAATCTGGCTGAAAATACATCTGTATGTGGAGTTTTCAGCTGTGTGGCTCCCAGACCAGCTCACTGGAGAAGTGCATGGATGCCAATATATATAAAAAGTTCCTCTAATTCAGGAGTAAATTGATGTTCTGCTCCCTTGGGGAACTGACGTATCTGAAGATTTGTGGAAATCGTCCAGGTTTTAGTGCAGTTCTATTTCATATCTCTCCTAATATTTTTCTCTGTTTCTTGGATAGAATAAACTTGTGCTTGTAGCTGCGGCCAGAGACAGTAAAAATCCTTAATGAATTAGCAAAAGCACTCCTCAGAATTTGTTGCTGGTTTGGCCCTTTCAGCCAGGGAAAGAATGAAATAAGAGGAAATGTATTTTTATAACTGGTGTGCTTGACATGCAGCACATTGAAAGACATCTGGGCACGTGAAGACTATTCCCAAAAAGGTTAAAGCTGAAAATCAGCTGAAAGCTGTATTTTATCACAAAACACCTTACACTGAAGACAGGAACTTTTTTTTAGACTACAAGATTTTATGCTAGTTTTTTGACAGGTTCAGTTCCAGTTCAGTTAAGAGTTTGGATTTGTGATTTGTTATTGCAAACTGATGTGCCATGCTTTTCTTGTTTGCTTGGGGTTTTGATACTTCTGCTACAAGAAAACTGATACACTAGTAAATAGTCTGTATTCCTGTAAAGATGCTTTGATTTTAGGGACAGGTTCAAATCTATCCATGTTATGTAGCAGGGTTAAGTTTTGTTTCTGTAGCAAATTATTCATAAACTTCTTGCTATTGCTTGCATCTTAAAATTTAAGACAACATTGTTATTAAATCTCACCTACTGCCTACAACTGTATTCAAAGCCAAAAGCAAACTCTTTCTTGCAGTGTTTGTTTTTCTGTCTGTATCATAAGCCAAAAAAACTACTGTATGACCTGAGACTTCTTTGTGCGTTAAAATTTATGTGAGCTTATTAATGGAGGCCAACCACTAATAATAAATTTATGCTGCATGTATAGCACAACTGTTCATCTCCTCTGACAACATGACTATGAATAATTTATAGATGTAGTTATCCTGAAATTTGTAGAGGCCATTAGCATTTTAATGAAAAAGATACAGCTGTTGTACTAAATCTTCACTTTTTTTCCCTTCTCCCCCAGTTAAGCATTTCGATCTGTGCTTTGGGAGCAGCTGACAGTGTGCGGTAATGTGCTGACTGGCACTATGGGCAGGCGGTACCCAGGGGCTCACTATCGGCCAAGCAGCTCATGTACGTATGCAATTGGTGTAATCTGTTTGTTGCTTTATTACTTTTGAAGGCTGCTAAGTTTATAAATTTTGCAATAGTATTTGTAAAGGATGCTGACATATTCTAATCGATGCCAGCTCTCCCGTGTGTGTACCCAAATGGTAAGTATATTGATCTATGATTAAACTGCAGAGGTGCTTTCTAGAACTTTAAAAAGCAGCTTGTGGTACAAGTTGACCAAGTCTACTTCAGTGTGCTGTGTTTTGTGCTGTGTTCAAGGTCTTCATTTATTGTAGGGTTCGAAAGTTTAGCTGCTATTTGTCTTCACTCCCATCCCAAGTTTTTAATACAAGATAACTTCAAGTTAACAAACTACTTAAGCTTATCCTAAAATGTCACTCTGCACTGTAGCTTTAATTGCTTTTAACTGCAACTAACATCTCTAGTTCAAATTATTTATATGCTTGAGTTCAGTATTATTCAAGGGTTTTTTTCATCTGGAAATATAATCCTATGGGATTACATTCTGTATCTCTTACTGAAGGTTGTCTTGTGTAAAAGTGCAGCGGCAACTCCTCAGGTTTACCACCTGCACCTTCCACTAACTAAGCAGACATATCTCATGCTGGTGCAGATGGCAGCCACCACACTGCAGGGGTTCCACAGTGCAGGCTGCATGAAATGATCTGGCATAGCCTTCCCTGGGGAGCTGTGTGGTAGAGTCCCAACTCCAGAAGGCTGCTGCCTGTCCTTGTGCACTTCTTGTTGATTCCTCAGGCTGCTGAGGTGAAGCTGTGATGGGTTAACTTTTGTATTCACTCATATTTCTGCTTTAGCAGAAGAACATGGTCCAGTGTGCCTTTTCTTGACATCAAAGCCATCTTAATAATCTCTAATTTCTGTACCATTCCTTCTGTTCCTTGAAAGACTTCTTTAAAAGCCTTGATTACTTCAGGCATCCAGCTCCACACATATTTGTGTTGGCTCATGCAAGTAGGAAACAGCAATAACAACTTACAGCTGTGGCAGAACAGGGACTTCCTGCCATTAGACGTGAGGAACTGCATGGTGATGTCTTGTTTCAGAACTTGACTTTGTGAGATTTCCCCTAACCCTAAAGCTAAATCCTAGGAAGCAATAAAGCATGTTTACTCTCTGCTGAAGACTAGTCATAGATGTAATGAAGTTAAAATGTGTGATAAAATGGTGTACTGCAACCAACCTAGATACTACTTTTCCAAGAAGCTTGTCTCTGATATTAACGTTAGGCTATTGTCTATATGAGAATGCAGGAAATAAATGGTTGTTACAGTTTTGACAGGTGGTCAAGTGCTGGAGTACAGAATTGGACTGAACTGTTCGAACCACTTGATGTTAGATATAGACACTAGCATTCAAACATGTCCTCTTGCTGTAGTATGGGGCATGATACCCACATCTCATGCCTAGACTTGTAGCTCAGAGCTTTAAAATGATCTAATGTAGAGGTAGTTTATCAGAGAGAAAAATAATAGCCATTAAATTCTTACCAGAACAGCCTAGGATGCTTTTCCTTTTGTCTAATTGAGCAGTTGCAGACAACGAAGAAGTAGAATTGTTGGCCTGGGGGAACACTGGGGTTCCTACCACCTGCCAGGGCCAAAGCTTGTGTCGGAATCAGTTGGCGCCAGAGCTCTGTCTTAGGGCTATCAGAATACCCCATTCATGATTGGTTTATGCTTTTGTTAAGCCAAGAGTTCCCTTTCCTTAACCTATCAGTTTTTCTAAGCCAGGAAACTTGCTTTATTTTTTGGTTTTGTTACTGTATGATTTATGCAACTTCCCAGAGCCTAACGTAAGTGCTTTGAACATTCAACAATAGTGGTATTGAAATTGCCTAGTCTTTGGGAAATGCAGATCATAATGAAATCTCTGATAGCAGATTAGATCTCAGTGAAAGTGCTGGTAAAATACATCATTTTGCTTTTGTATTCTTTGCATAAATAATCACTAATTGTGCTATCTCAGCTGTTGTATTTCATGTTTGCAGTTGTTACAAACTTAATGTTGTACCATTAAGGACTTGGTGCAGCCTTAAGCCCTAGTCCCTGATTGATTTTTATCTTCTGTACATACACACATACCTACATGAAGTCTGAAGGGAAAAATTGATTCTGCGTGGAAAATGGCACTTGTACTGCTTCTTTGGTGGTGAGATATTTCATCCATTTATGACATTGACTCTTTTGTTGAAGGATTTCATAAATTTAACAAATATAATAGTGCATGGTCTTAGGAGAATGCAGAAGGTTTTATATCCAAGGAAAGACGTAACAGTTTAAATAGAAAATAGCTTATTTGAAGCCCAGAGATAGGAAATCTCTTTGAAATACAGGTGCTAAAGATAAAAGAAATAGCAAGGTGTTTAAAATGTAAAACTGAAAGCTGTGAATTTAATAGGTGCCTGCTAGTTTAGACTTTTTAGAAGTGTAATTAAAAAAGCAGTGATTTCTCTTGGTTACTGACAGTAAGCAAAGAAGTGTATCCCTGGCTCTGTCTAGCTTTTCCTTACTTAACACTCCCTCATGTGCATTTTATTTGTTGGGGTTCTTCTCTGTGTTTTCCTTCTGAGAAGTGCCAGCTGAGACTGTACACTTTCCAGCTATTGAGAGCCTGCTTTTGTAATCAGACTTCTCTCATTAGTTTCTCCTGAGCTTCATATATACTTTTCTAAAGTTTGCTCATACAACTTTGTGTTGGCTGCAGCAGCTCTCCTGAAAACAGCACTGAAAACCAGTTAGTATTGTTGAGGCAGCCTGAAATTTTCTTTCATACTGAAGTGTTTTTTTCTGTGCACAGAGTAAAAGGGTTTTGTTTTGTATGTCTGGAAAAAGCTTTTTAAAGGGTTGTCCATGCACATCCTGTCCCCAGCGTAGTAGTTTATTTTCATTACTTGTAGTGTTTTGCATGATAGTGAAATCTAAGCGAAGTGTTTCAGAGAAAGTGGAATTGGTTCCAGTGCCATTCTGCTGGCATTAAATGCTCATGAAGGATTTAAACACCAGCAATGATGAACTGCACAGTTTTGTGAGAGTGCTTAAAAAAACCAAACAAACCAGCAAACCTCTTTTTCAGAAGACACCAGAAGTGAGGAAATGCAGGAATTTTTGGGTCGTGGTTTCTGGCACTTGCTGACCTTTGGAGTGTGCCAGGGTGGAGGCGCAGTTCCTGCGATGGCACGTCAGCATTTGCCTTGCGCCAGGAGCTTCACCACCAGCCCTCACTGCCCATGGAGGACGGTGCCATGCCTCCCACCCTTAAGTCATCCTCTTGGTTTGCGGCAGGCAGAGATGGACTTTTCTTTCTTTTTTTGAACTATTGGTCGTTTCATACTTAAGAACAACTCAAACTACAGCTCATGTGGAATGATTTATTGATACAGTTCTGCCAGTGTAATTATTAGAGCTGACTAGAGTTTTATTTCAGAAGCTTCTGATGGAGGGTGATACTTTTCTGCTCTCCCCCTCCTCCCCAAGCAAACCTCTTTGGGAAATACCATTTTGATGAAATGTTCTCATGAAGGATGAGGGTGCAAGGGAATATCCCTGCTGGGAAGGCACTCCCCTGGACTGCAGAAGGAAGAGGTTTGAGTCTCACTTCTTCCTGATCATCTCCCATGCCAGAGCTGCTCTTATAAATAATTAAATATACTTAAGGGCATAGAGAGCAGGGTTGATTTTATAAACTCAGGGTTTGATTTCTTTCCTGGAACATTCAAATTCTTGCTCTGCCTTTGTCTCTTCAGCTTCCCAAGGACTGCCAGGCTGCTACCTTACTTGAACTGGGGCTATCCGCTGCTGCTGGTCTTGCAAGGGACTGTTGCTTAGTGAAACTGCTGGAAAGTCTTTGCTGCAGTAAAATAAGGAAACAGATGTGAGCATGGTAACAGTATAAGTAACAGCAAACCACTGAAAAAACCCAAACTTAGAATCATAGAATCAACTAGGTTGGAAAAGACCTTTAAGATCATGAAGTCCAACCTCTAGTCCAACTTCTAGTTTTGCAGTCAGTGCCAGTAAATACATTGCGAATATCAGCCCAAGATGAGTTGGTGTGATGAGCCTGTAGGTTTGATTTGGAGCCACTTCCAGAGTAACATGAAACTCATCCAGGGAAGCAGTCTGACCCTCAAGGAGGAGTGTGTCCACTGTGCAACTCCTGGCAGAAGCATCCCAGTAAAACATCTGCAAAATCCTGCCCTAAATCTTACCTTTTCTATCCAGGGAGATACCTTGGTGTAAATGAGGCTCAAGCTTTAGCACTGCTCAGATAGCATAAAATTGCTGAAAAGCTGCACCTTATCATTGAGGAGGAATATAGATGATTCATGAAGTGAAAATTACAGAAGCACCCAATGACACATACATTACTCTCTCTGTTAAAGCCTATCTTGTTTAGGTTTCTGCCTTTCCTAGGAAGCTATGTGGAGACTTGCACAACAGCTTCACTGAGGTCTCTCGGGTGATCTTGGTGAAGCCCCGAAAACTGCACTGCTTTCCACAGATAGGAGCTGATTCAGAACCTGGATACAAAAAGCTTTTTTTAAGAACTGTGCATTAACTCTGAGTGCGTATTGTCACTTCCGGTTTTATTTCTCGGCGTAATTAAATAGTACCCCTGTCCCAGGTCCATTTCTTCTTCACAGTGAAATAGTAAAAGCGATAGTGCTCTGAAGCTGAAGGTGTCCTGGTAAATTCTGCTTGGGGTTGTGCATATTTGTGGAGAACCACCACGGTACCAAATTTGTATCATGTGTTCGTCCCCTTTCAGAGGAGCCCCAGTTCCTTTGCTGTTGAAGCGCCTTGTGGAGATCTGTGAGTTTGTAGACAAGAAACAGGAGTAGAGGATTTTGGCTAGTGCAATAAGAACTCAAGACTCCCTGTTGCAATTCAAGCCAGTAGTACTACTAGTAGCTGGTTCTTTTCCACTTGTTCAGTGTCTTCTACAGCCAAGTTTGCTGTTTGTTGAAACTGAGCCCACTT